CAATATCATTGGCACCGGTGGGGAGCTTCACGTTTATATAGATTTCAGCAAACAAAATATAATCATTATAAAGAAATATAACATAGTGCGAAGTGGTTCTCACTAGAGTTAAGAGTTACACAATCGCACTGCTGGATACAACTATAAAGCTAATAACAAAGCTTAAAGTTTTAAATCGATCAAGGGAACAATAGATTAATTCTACGAATAAACACGGTCACTCTCTTTTATTACGTAATTAATAACGATTTACCTGAGACTTAGAGTAATTTACGTTATAGAGTCACGTTGTAGCTGTATTATGGCCGCAGTGTATACATCAACTCGTTCGGGGTATGACCATGGTCTCACAGAATGCCAGCTTAAATAAAATAGCAGCATAATGCTATCCTGTTTTGTACGGCGAGACACGAGAACCGGATACACTGTTTACACCAACGCATCTGCGTTTTGATTCTTAATCCAGGATGGGTGTAGGTGTTTATGGGCCACAGCATTTACTCCATCAAATGGACTATATTCGCGTTAATCACCTTGATGAGGTTTTAAACGTGGTAGTGTCACGCAGCAGCTCGAATGGATCGTCTCGACCAGGGAACGACTACACTCACATAATATCAGCGTAAAATAGTAACTTAATGCTGCCGTGTTTCATGCGTGAGAACTCGTGTCCCGAGTATAGAGAACCGGAGACCCTTGTTAGCTTCGATCAACAATACCAACTAGATAACGGGTCACGTACAAAATCATAGCTAAATACTGTCCGCATGAATGTAAACTATGAAAGACATAAATTAAATAACATTTAGTGTGAAATCAACCTTACGTTATAACAAATAAAGTTCTTTTTCCCGTTATTGCCTTGCGAGCTACACTCTCACGTGCAAGACCTCACGTCTCATGTGCGCTCTTATTTACTGAGATGGATTTCTTGCGCCGACCCGACATCTTGTTGGTATTGTTGATCGAAGCTTGTTAGTATTTAGAGGTGACAACGCATCTACATTTTGATTCTTAATCGTAGATAGTTGTAGATATCTATGGGCCACAGCATCCACTTACTATCAGGTGCACTGTGTGCTCGTTTGTCACTTAAAATCGTATGGAAGGGCTTGTTACACTTATTTTTAGCCAGACCCAAGCCAAAAAGGTAAAAAAATCTAAAACTATACATATAAAGTAAAAAAAAACCTATTAACATTTTAGAGAATTCGACAATCAAGTTTTATTAAATCAAAGCTATGTTGTTGAACAACTTCATTGAATATTGCAGATGCAAAATACTCACAAAAAAAGGAGATAGTAGTATAAAACTCCTTGAGCATATTTATTGCGTCGTAACTATTATAAAAACACAGAATTTGATAGTAACTTAGTTGTTATTTAGTCTCACAAGATTATTCAAGAAAAGCAGGTGTTTCATTTGGTTCCATTACACCTGTCCCCTGCGTCACATAATTATATCTATCGTTACAAATTAGCTCGATTTAATAGCCTATTAATTCATCAACCACCGCCACAGCATATACTCCGGTTCAGGTGGGCTACGTGTTCGCGTGTCACCATGATTCTATATAAAACATTGCCTACGTATTGTTCTACACGTACATGTTACAACTCTTTACTGAAAGATTATATGGAAATAGAAACTCCCTATTTCAAGTAATATTTTAATAGCCTAAATTTACATAATTTTATACGTGTTAAAGCCGGGCTGCAGTTATATAAGTAGTGTTGTTGTAGCACGAATGGGTCAGCTCGACCGGAGAAGACCATGCTCTCAGAATAACAGTGTAGCTTATTGCTGCTGTGTTTTGTATGGTGAGTAGACAACTAGAAACGAGGTATTCCATCTTAGTCCTCACGGGTGACAACGCAGCTGCATTTTTATTTGTAATCAAGGATGGATGTACTCGTAGTTGTCTATGGGCTACAGCAATCTCGTTCTCGCGAGATCTCGCTAGTTTAACGATATTGCACTCGGGCATAAAAACGTCTTATTCGAAGCGCGGACTGACATGGACGGAGTTGCGATCTGTCGGTTATCTGGCCAACAAAATAAGAAGCCGTTTAGCAGACGATTCTTTGGACATTTTGTGCTTCTTAAGGAGCTACTTTCAAAATAATTCGTAATAATGGCTTGTGATTTGAACTGAACAAATCTTTCATTTGATTTGATGGTATATTTTGTTAATTAATTGTTTTTGACTTCTCGTTGTTTTGTTTGTTATAAAAGTAATGTTTTATTACTAAAAGATTTTTGTTTGATATTAGAAGAGAAGACTAGTTGTTTCTTTCATATGATATTTGATAGATGGATACGTTTTTCAAAGTTTACTTCTTAGAAGTTTTTTAAAAAATTATAGACATATATCTCAAACAATGTTTTATTCATAAAAGTCTATTGAAAAAATTCGTGAAAAAAAGTTTATCTTATACTTAATACTTATAATTCTTATTATTTTTTCCTAATTTATTAAAATATTGTGAATATTTGTAAAGAAAACACACATAACTGCCAATCTCGCGAGACCTCGAAATTGGCGAGATCTTGCAGTATTTATTAGTTATTCATAATCATTTAGTAGTTATTCATAAAGTCGCGGGATCTCGCTTGAGCCCCAATCTCACGAGATTTGCATTCCCTAGACTGTATGCTAGTTTGTCATCCTATCCTATAAAAAAACATATTTCCTTTAGTACAAATAATTTTATTAATTATTAACATAATATTTCGTGTATTACAAAAGCTATTTATGAATATCAAGGTCGTACATAGCGCTGGATCTTACAGATAAGCACTTTAGACAACAGCAGACACCAGACTACCCGCCACGCCGAAACCTATTGTCTCAAGCAGCGCGCTGCGCATCGTATTGGTCCATACATGTAGATAAAATTAGTCTGTGTGTAATGTCGAAACAACTGTCTTTTATTGAGTTGATGAGTTTACTTGCACGGCATTGATAAAAGAAAAATAGAATAAAGGTGACAAACGAGCACGCAGTCCACCTGATGTTTTTTTTTTTATTTATCCTCGATTAAGAATCAAAACTCACTCCTTCATCGTGCGAGTGAGCTCTATTGTGGAAAGTCAGAATGTAAAAAAAAAGGCACGTTTGGCAATCCACAATGCTGTTAGTCCCTACTTTTACATATGGTAGTAAAAGTTGGGTATAGCAGAAGAAGCACGAGAGTAGAATAAATGCAGTGGAAATGCGGTCGTTAAGGAGTATGTTAGAGTTAAATCTGAGTGACAGGGTGAGAAATTGTGTAATAACAGAAGAATGTGGTATGCAAAATGATGTTGTGACGAGGATTAAGAAAGGAATGCTTCAATGGTTTGGTCATGTAGAAAGAATGAATGAGGAAAGGGTGACAAAGCAAATTTATGTTGCAGAAGTGAACGGAAGAGTCGTTAAGGGACGCCCTAGGCGAAAGTTTGCCGACCAAATTGGCGATCTATTGAAAAGGGGCCAAATTAAAACTACCCTTAACCGACGAGCATGTATACGTAGGTATATGAATTTGGAAGAGGCGAGAGAGGTGTGTCAGGATCGTGCCAAATGGAAGTCTGTAGTCTCTGCCTACCCTTCTGGGTGATAGGCGTGAGTGCTTATGCTATGCTATGCTATGCTAAGAATCAAAACGCCGCAGAATCGTTGTCACCCCTGAGAACTAAAATGCAATGCCTCGTTTCCATTAAAAAAGGGTCTCCGGACTACACTCACCAGCTGGTATTTTACGCTGTTATTGTGTCCATGAATAACTATTTATAAAATTTTTGTCTGTCTGTTATTTGTCTGTCCGAGCCAACCTTCGGGCTAACTTTACCGATTGTAATGAAACTTGACGATCAGATAGAGGGCAATGCTAGGAGTGATCTAGGCTGGGTTTTATCCGAAAATTTCGGAAGAAAGGAAAATGTCTCTGTACTTTTATTAAATACTAGTTGCGAATTTAGAAACTCACATTTTTATACTTGGTAACATAATATCCACAGTGTTAAATTGTTTTTACCTGAAATAACATTCGTGTACGTATCTATAATATGGACCATTATTCATCACACAATACAATATTTTAAAGGTGTTAGTTAGGAGTGTGTCCGTCGGACACATTGTGAGGACAGTCAAAAAATGATTTACGTCTTTCTTTTATCATTGGTTTATTTAAGTTCGCACATTTGCAAATAAATTCGGGAATTTTAAAAAAGTTTATCATGTTATTTGTTCCACAAATATCGGCTAGGACACATAATTGGATTTTTTACGAAAAAAATAAATAAAATTTGATGATATCATATAGGACTATGATGGAATGCCTCGATTCCAGTAAAAAGAGTCTCCGGTTCTCTACACTCCCCATACCAAACACAGCTGCATTACGCTGCTATTTTACGCTTGTATTCTGTTAGAGCGTGGTCCTGCCACGGTTGAGCCGTTCAGTTTTGTTTTATAAAAATAAACTTAATTCAAGTATATATATATATATATATATAATATATATATATATATATATATATATATATATATATATTAATTTCTTTTAACTTTAATGGCAGCAATTTTTATTTAAACCATAGAGTCGCTAAATATTCTCGTTTTAGAATACAAAATTTGTTTAATATTCACTCAGAGAGCGGTCTACAACATCGTATTAGAAAATATTACCTGCTTTCTTTGTATTCGTGATCGATTCCCAGGCCGTTACAGTACCAATCCGGGCTCCTTTCCCATCGCACGCAAGGTGTTCATACATCGCCCGTGGCCGACGATTTAGGAAGTTTAGATTTTTTTATGCCGCTCTCTTTGATTGCCCGCCTATTGTTTATGGATTTTTGCGGTTATATCTCGGGTGGCCACGACCGCATCTGTTGCGAGACGTAAACACAGTGAATATGCACTTTATAGATTAGCTGCAGAACAACAACCACGATGTGTGTGCCCGAGTGGAGTCAGTGATGTGGAAATTCAAGTGCAAGCTCAAATGCGAGCGGTATGGCGCTGCGGCATGACGCGATGGAACCTAACTTCTTACCAGCGGACCCACCGCCGCTGTCCGATATCCAATACCAACCACGCAGCGATCTAGCCACGGAATACTTCAATACGTTCAACCAGATATGCGAGAACTACCGGCCGGAGTCTGAGGCCAACCTCCGGCAGACGTCGGACTCGTTGCGTCTGACTACGCAGATCCTGGATGGTGGTCACGGTGAATTTATTAGTACGGACTTTTTGAACGATAAAGCCAAGCAATCACGGACCGAGTACGTGTCGGACTTTGGTACGGAAAAGTTTTTAAGTGGGAAAGATGAACACATATTCCAATTCGGACAGCCCGACGCTTCGGCTCTGTTGAGGCAGAGAGCCAGGCGGAGATATAACGAGGAGCATGGACTGCAGGTGCCTCCGGCCACAAGTCAGGAGAGTGGGGTGAGTTGAGATAACCTGTATATTAAGACATTATTTCTGCCTTTCTTTTCTTCTTACCATCAGATAAATGTGCCTCGTTTGCCTTCTCTTGGATAAAAAAATATTCTTTTAAAATGGCAGTTTGATTGCCAACCCTAAAAGAAATGTTCCACTTTTATTATTCAACGTTGTGACATACTTGGAATTGATATTTTGTTTATATTCTGTTATGATAACTACGTGTAGAGATGATATAAACCTTATTAAAACGTTAGTTTTCTTTTTCTATTCGACTACTGTAAATTAAATTAAGAATGTTGTGGATACTATGAATGTTACCACAAAGAATTAATGGATTCAAATTACATACATATATTCAGAGACAAAAATACTACTAGACTATAATACTATATATAATGTTATTAAAATGTTGAGTTCAACGTTTATCGTAAAAGAATATTCTTTCTGTATTTTATAACTCAGAGCCGTGTTTTATGGCATTATTTAGGGGAGAGCCTATGTTCGGGAGTGGATTTATAAAGGGCTGAAATGATGCCGATAATTGGTTATAATATTAAAGTACTTACAAACAAATTATTTTAACCATTGAACTCTTTTATCTCTAATTACTGACCGATTCCTGTATTCAAGAAACGTTTCGTATTCCGTAACGATCCGTTTTATTACGTATGAGGTGCATACTGTACGAGTATAAACAGTTTATATGCAAACTATTCATTCAACAATTTAGGATGACGTAAAATGAAAAAAAAAAATTAAACGGTTCATAAATACTTGAATGTGTTGTCATCAATTAAATTAAAACAGCTTTTAATAAGAAATAAAAGCCGACTTTAAAGAAGTAAAAAGATTTTTTATATAATAGGGGTGACAAACGAGCACACAGTCCACCTGATGGCAAGTGGATACTGTGGTCCATAGACATCTACATTTATCTTCAATTAAGAAAAATGCAGATGCGTGAGGACTGAGATGGAATGCCTCGTTTCCAGTAAAAGGGGTCTCCGGATCTCTACACTCACCATACGAAACACAGCAGCATTAAGCTGCTATTATACGCTGGTATTCTGTGAGTTTGTGGTCCTATCCCGAACGAGCGAAGCCGTTCGTGCTGCAACCACAATATAGCTGCAGCATGACTCTACCACGACTTTCAAATAATTTCACACTTGGAAATCGGTGCCACGATATAATTGTGTAGAAGAATTAAAGTGTCGACTTCAGAATGTGAAATTATTTTTTGCTTTTTAGTTATTAGAATTCGGCTTTTGCTTTTTGGTAAGAGTAGATTTTTTTTACTCTTTTGACTGGACTAAGGAATATTACAATTTAAGTATTGTCTAAATAGTTACATTCAAAGTTTGATCCTATTGAGAATATCCACTACCCCAAATCGTCCCGTGGGTGTTGTGGTGACAGAGGGAAACAAATCAGATGGGCAGCAGCGTCTTCCTAATAACGACTATAAATAAAAGCTGCGTTGCGAAGCGCGCCAACTGTGGCAAATGTTCAGCTGTGGACTTTAAATGAGGGCATCCATGACTTTCTGCCATCAGGTCGCTACCACTTAAAATAAGGTGTAATATTTGAACAGATTACCCCTTAGGGGGTTATCTGTGCAAATATTCACCTCACCTCTTTATATTAATTGGATAAATAATGAATAAACCAAACAACAGATAAAAATAGAAAAATTAAAAAATGACAATAATGTGCAAAATATTAAGGAGCAAACCACTGAGGCATTGTTTTGTGTATAAATATAATACTCTAGAAACTGTTAAACTTTTATTTAAAACTAAATTATCAATGAAACGACATTGTGCAACAAAAACATCACCTCAGTGTACACTAGCGACATCTGGTGATCGTAAGATTATTAGCCCTCGTTGGCTGGTAACTAGCGGAACCAGAATAAATGGTAGACATAAGTACAAATAGATGTTGGCAAAATATAGACGTTCAAAGTTTTAAATTAAATACATTAGTTACAGTAGTAGTTGGTTATTAAGCTTTTAGTTTTTAATTCGCTTTACTAAAATAAACATAAATCTTTTCGTCGTGGGAATTTGTATAACGGGAACAAACAGGAATAAATAAACATACGGGCACGCTGTAAGCGTTACGAAACTAATGTCTTGTTCCCGGTACTCTGTTTATCTCTCTCTCATCTATTACAGTCTATAAAAGTCCGCTGTTGAACATAGTGCTCCGCCTCCCCCATAGATTGCCTCCTAGGGGTGGATTTTTCCACAGCAGGCAAGCGGATTGGCAAGCGCAGTTTTTTGTTATTTTCATATGTTATCAGGTAGACCTACTGCCTCCCATCGCCTGTTTCAATTTTCCTCTGTCGCCTCTCACGACACCCGCGACACGATGTGGGGCAGTGGATATTATTACTCCGCCACTACTCGCTAACTTTGTTCCACTCGATTTTACTGTAGGAAACAGATAGCTGTGAACACTCCAGAATTAGCTCACTTTAATAATGCATTTTGTATGCGTTACCGTGTAGTGGCAGTGTAAGAATATCTATTACCCCATATTGTCCCGTGGGAGTCGTAGAACAGAGCGGCAGAGCGACAACCCAGGAGATTGATAGCAGCATCCTCCCAATAACAACTAAAACAAAAAACTTCGGTTGCCAACCCGTTTGCCAAGCGTGGCAACTTGGAAAATATCAGGCATGAGGAGTCTTGGGGGCCTATGTTCAGCAGTATTAAGATTACTACTCCCGAGCGACACCAACTCTTTACTGGTAGCATGGTATTTTATCTCAGAGGAGACACATCATTTTGTTTCTTATTCGTGAATAAACATTGCCACCGCTAATTCTTAAAAAAAAATGCATATTGCGTTTACCAACAGTGATTTTTCTGGACTGATACGAATTAGAGACCTTTAAGAAAAGAGCTTACTCTGTTTTAAAAGGGCGGCAACGCACTTGCTCTCCCTTTGGTGTTGCTTTTTTTTGGGCGACATTTTCCGTCAGGTGATCCACATGCTTGTTTGTCCGAAATTCTGTAAAAAAAACTGTTGTTCAAGACATTAGTTCGACTTTATAAAACGAAGGCTATCAATACGACATTATGGCATTTTGTGTGAATTTTGTTTTTGGTAGTATTACGAATGGCTCCGATTCACTATACAAAACACACACGCCGCTGTATGCTGCTATTTTACATTGGTGAACCATGAGAAATATAATGAAAGTATACTAGACAACCCGGTTAATTTCCCCCAATTTCTGTCTATGAACTAAGTGTTTTACGATCTACTCGCCCGATACAAATTTACGTGGAGTAATTCATCCAGCGCGTCCGCCAAACGGCCGATACGCTTCGGTTTGATTTACGAGCGTCGGCTCTCGGCGTATTTATGCGCGGGGCTTAATTAGCAGCGGTAATTCTGGTCTGCGTGGGCGCCACAGGGCTAGCTGTATTAATATCCGCGGGGACCCGTTCGCCCGCGGCTTGTCTGCTAGAGGATAGCCCAAATGTTGGACGAAGTTTAGCGAAACTAAAGTTGGAAAGTCAATTGCACTTTCTTGACGTAGTAGGTAATACTTTTTTGGTATTTTTTTTAAAACGCTTATCCCGCTTTACCTTAAACTTGGATTTTCTCTTGTATCATGTTCTTGATTCGAACTCGCCCTCAGTTCTGCTACTCATTGCTAAGCCTCTGCGGCACGGTGCCAGCTTGTAAAGACTTTTATATCTTGGTGGGTGTGCGGAAATCAGAATTGTGAATATTTTATATAAGTATGGGTGACAGAGGGTAGCAATCCAGGAAATTGACAGCAGCATCTTCGTGTGACAATAAAACAAAAAAATCAGGTGTTAATCCGCCTGCGGGAATTGGCAATACTTACCAACTATGGCAACCATCAAGAATGAATATAACGTTAGACAACATAATATACTGATCGAATATTATAATTTTCTTTGATATACATAAAGAATTTACGAAACATCAGAACGTTTAGTAAATTATAATCTATCCGTGAATGAGGCCGCTGACGTACAACCATCAAAAATGAAAAAAAAAATACAAAAATATTCAAAAGGAAAAATCTACGGGATAATGACACGATATGACGTGTCGTATCCCATCGTATCCTAGTCCACGCCCTAAACATCGTGTTCTTTAAATAGAATTAATGATAAGCATTTGTTAGTGCCGCGATCTCAGAGACGCATCTAAAACCTTTCTTTCACATGTCACCGGAAACGAAGACAAAAAGTACAGCGGAAAGAGATCGTGCGTAACCCCATCTATGAATGAGTGGGAACACGTAACTGTAAAATGTTGGATTGTCCCTGAGAATTTTTTTGACTCTTATCATTTTATACCACCTGATTATTTATACGTATAGATGTATAGATTAATTGTTAACGGTAAATTAGTGCAGTCAGGTTGTGTTTTAATATTAAAAATATAAATTAAAAACGCAACCTATCTATCTTGTTGCGTTTTTATGGTTTTATTTTCATATATAAAGTGACAAATGAATTATTATTAAAACACAACCTGGCTGTGATTTATTGTTAACGATTAATCTATACGGGTACATCTATACATATGAATAAAATTGAAGCGTCTGTCTGTAATATAACAATAACTAGCTTCTATTAGCTTCTATAGTTTAAGGGGTAATTTGCATGATATTAATACAGAAACAACCACATGGGGGGGGGGGGGGGGGCGGCTTTTGGGTGTGGAATTGGTTTGGTTCTTGGGGGGTTTGTCACCTATTCGTTTTCAGAAATTATCTCATTGAAAATACGTGCTACTGGATATTTTCTCATCTTCTTGCCGTAAAATATTTGTTTAATACGTTAAAACGTTTGTCTGTATGTCTGTCTGTCTGTCCGGCCTAATCTTCAAAATGCCGCAACCGATTGTGGTGAAGCTTTACAACAACTTCACGTGGTAGAGCCATGCTGCAATTATATTAATAGTATAGTTGTAGCACGAATGGGTCGGCTCGACCGGGGAAG